TTTTTAATTTTTTTTTTTCGTGTTTCTGACCCATTTTGGGCAAATATTGGAAGTGGAACGGCCCGTTCCAGAATCAGAACGGACCGTTCTACTTAAAGCCACAGAGTGTTTTTTTTAAATTAAAACGGGCCAAGAACAGCCCGTTCCAGAATAGAAATTTAAACAATTTTTTGAACCTGGAACGGCCTTGGAACGGCCCGTTCCAAAAGACGTTTTTAGGAATCAAAACGTGTTTTGGAACTGGCCGTTCTGGTTTTGGAACGGCCCGTTCTTGGCAAACAGTAAATAAGAAGACCAACATTTTATTAATTAATTTTTATTAGATATTTGTGTAAAAAAAATATATAAGTTAATAGGTTCAAAGAAGTATTTTACCTTTTTTTACAAATTCTATTCATAATAATTATCTTGTATATTTCACAAATCCTGATTAATTTATATTATTATAATTTTTATGTTAACAAATAACAATACACTAAAAATTAAAATTTACTATCAGAATTCAAAACTATAACTCCATCCCAAATTTAATCCTTTAAAGTTAATTCACTTGGATCAAGAAATATCCAATGAATGTGAGTGGGGACTAAAAATTTATTGCTATCCCATTATTTTAACTTTATTATCTTTTTTTTTTTGTAAAAAAAACGTGAATAGTTGATGGACAAAATGCTTATTAGATAGGAGTATAATTGAGTAAAAAGATATTAATTAGACTGTAAAATTCTAATGATATTTCTTTATAAATAAAAAAATGTTAAAATGGTCAAAAGTTTAAGATGAGTGAAATAATATTTAATATTAATGCCTAGAAGTTAAGAAACATTTAATATCAGTTATAAATAATATATTTAGACAACCACTTAAGATAATATCTTACGCTTAAAACGTACAATTATCCCTGAACTATAGGGAATATATTCTCTCCAACAATATAATTATCGGATAAAATTTTAACTATTCAATTAATTTTATTAAAATAATATATTTTGTTATAAATTAAATTTAAAAAATTAAGGGTCAAATTATCACACTTCACCGTCTCAAGTGTTCTCTCTGATAGGGAAATTTCTCGTCTGTCAAGCATAGTTTAAAATAATCTCAATTAATATTTATATTATACTTTGAGAATTGAAATTATTGAGATTTGAAATTTCTAAAACATTAATTAATTTGGAATAAAAATTAAAGACTAAAACACTAAAAGTTTTGAAAAGGAAGAAATAAGAGTAATTGTAGGATTAAACATGAGTGTTAAGAGAGGTACATATGAAATTAATTTTTATTAGATATTTGTGTAAAAAAATTGCAAGCATTTATAGGAAGAAAAGCATTTTTACTGTTTGCCCAGAACGGGCCGTTCCAAAACCAGAACGGTCCGTTCCAAAAAACGTTCTAATTTCTAAAAACGTCTTCCGGAACGAACCGTTCCAATGCCGTTTTAGATTCAAAAAAATGTTTAAATTTCTATTCTGGAACGGGCCGTTCTTGGCCTGTTTTAATTAAAAAAAAAAAAGACTTTGTGCCTTTAAGCAGAACGGCCCGTTCTGCTTTCGGAACGGGCCGTTCCACTTTCAACATTTGCCCAAAATGAGCCACAAACACGAAAAAAAAAATTAAAATAACTCAGAATTCGGTTCCCCGGGAACCGAATTCTGAGAAGAAAAAAAAAAGTTTGAAGCTCAGAATTCGGTTCCCGGGGAACCGAATTCCGAGCATGAACAGTAAACCGTTCTACTCCTGTAAATAAACTTGCACAGGTGTCATTTTTGTAATTTTTCTTTTAAAAAATATTATTTACGTAAAAATTTCATATATTTGTACAATCATATTTTTTTATTCGTCATCAATGTATATCAAATTTTAATTCCTGAATATTAAAATTCTCTACTATTTCATTATTTATTGTTTTTTACAATTAGAGAGGTTACAAAAATTTTTATTAATAGATATTAGGCTAAAACCCTATTTTGGTCCCTTATAATAATTGTTTGTTTCAATTCAGTCCCACTTTTATTTTTTGTTTCAATTTGGTCCCAAATAAATTAATTGGTTTCAATTAGGGACTTCCATCCAAATTATTTAAACGGAGTTAACTTTTGGCCACGTGGATGCCACGTAGATGCATATGTGGATACCACGTGGACGCCAAATTTTTTGAAAACATCTGGAACCAGAACGGCCCGTTCTGAAACCAGAACGGCCCGTTCTGAAACCAGAACGGCCCGTTCCGGATGCACTCGTGGTGTGTTAATTTTTGCACCTGAAACAGGCCGTTCCAGATGCAACAGAACGGGTCGTTCTGCACCCGTTCCAAAACTAAGAATAAAATATTCTTTATTAATTTTATTAAAAATATAATAATTTTTGAAAAATATTTTTTTATGGTAAAAATTTTAAAATTACTTATTTTTATAAAATACAATTGTCTTATAAATAGAGTAATAACTTTTTCTTTTTCTCTTTCTGTCTGAAGAAATATTTAATTGTCACTTTATAATTTTTTGCAACTTATTTAAAATTAGAGGAATAAAATGATAAAATTTAATAGGATAAACGTAATAAAAATAAAATATAAAAAAATATTAATATATTTATTATATTAGATATAACAACATAATTAAAATGTAATTAATAATATATTTTATAAAATTATTAATTTTATATATATATAAAAAAAATGAAAACAATTTTAGTGGGGCAAGTGCCCCCACTATAATTAACTTAGATCTGTCCCTGCATATGATTGTGTGGTGAAATGTTAGTCCTGTGTATCCTCTTCCTTTACTTCATGTTCTACCTCTTCAAGAACAAGTTGTTGTTGTTGGGGTACATCGTTAATGACTTCAAGAAAAAATATCATGTCATTTTATCTTTTACTGTATAGTGTCAATTTAGTAGTAAGTGGTTCACTCCAGTTTGAAATAAAATAAAATCTGCTACCATTGTCTTTAGTGATACATTGCATTGTCCTTAATAATACACTGTATAGCCTAACTGTTTAGCAATTGAAGTTATTAACTAATTGTTTAGACTACCATAGGTGGATGCCTGTGGATGACAATTTTTTTTTAAAGCACCTGGACCCAAAACGGCCCGTTCTGAAACCAGAACGGGTCGCTTTGGTTGCACTTTTGGTGTGTTAAATTTGCATCCGGAACGGGTCCTGGGTCCAGGTGTTTTAAAAAAAAAATGTCATCCACGTGGCATCTACCTATGCATCTACGTGGCATCCACGTGGCCAATAGTTAACTCCGTTTAAATAATTTGGACGGAAGTCCCAAATTGAAACCAATTAATTTATTTGGGATCAAATTGAAACTAATTAATTAATTTGGGACCAAATTGAAACCAAAAATAAAAGTGGAACTAAATTAAAACAAACAATTATTATAAGGGACCAAAATAGAATTTTAGCCTAGATATTAAAATCCAAAACACATAAATAATGACATGAAATAATAACATGATGTAACTGTTCATATGTAAACATAATTTTTTTAAAATTTTACAAATTATAAACAGTCTTCTAATCTTGGAAACTAAATTAAAAATATTAAAAAAAATGAATGAGTCATATACATAATCCGAAACACACTAAATTTTATTGAGAAAATTCGATGGATCACTGTTCTAACCGGTTTCTACAATTCCAAACCCTCTTGTGGGTAAATGGATTTGTAAGGAAGACAAAAGCAGCATTTATAATCTGGTGCAGATACCATAATTCGCCTTGTGACTGCAATTATTGGACACATGCATAATGCATTATATTAGTTGTCTCTTATTACTCACTGCTGTGGGGCCTTCAATCATCAACTAAACCTTTAATTAATTACTTTTCGTTTCCTACACCTTTGGACCAATTCTAATTTCTAGCCTCTCTATACTTTGCAATCTATTATTTCTTCAACAATTTCTACAAGTTTCTTGCTCTTGCCATCTATTGGAGAATAAATGTCGATACAAATATAGGTTGCATTTTATTAATTATATCGTAATAATATAATTAACACGGTTTTTTCCCGTTATAATCTTTAACCTCTGCACTATTTCATAAATAACACTTTATTTGAATTAATTATATACGTGCTCTCATACATAATACATACCGCAGTCACCATCTTCTTACTGTCTGCAGTATTTAATTTGTGTTCGGATAAGATTTGATAATAGTGCACTATTTTTTGTTTTAAAATAAACAAAAACAAAAAATGATCCAGAAAGAGAAGCCACTCACTACTCAGTGATGATAGTGGGACTGAGGATAAAGTAAAACGAGAATCTACTAAAAACAAAACAAGTTCTTTTTTTAGTTTTTACAACAAAAATGATAGTCTTCCAAAACACACAAACAGTGGCTGTTGATGATGATGCCTTATAGTTTGAGTTCTTTCACGTCAATGAAGTTAAAACTTATGGCGCATAGCTTTGTTACTTTTGCCAATTATACTTTGTTAGACCGTGGTGCTTCTCTGATTCACCAACTAGTTGGAGTTTATAATTGGAATCAATGAAGAAATAATAAACTAAACAACAAGCACTTAATTGTATACAGGAGGGACCAACTATTGGACGGCGATGATTCAAGGTAGGTAGGTACTATACTATGAGCATGCAGCTGCAGAAAAGTTAGCAGAATAATGTTCATGCACATATTACTATTGTCTTAAAACTCATAATAAAAATTTAATTTATGCTTATGATTGATGATTTTTGTTGGTCAAATATTATTTTAATATTAATAAAATTCAATTATAAAAATACCAAATCAACACCACCCGTATCCCAAGATAGACGTCGAGATTTGTTATACAAGCACAATCTGAAACGACCCGTCATCACAACAGAATAATTTCATCGTCACACACAAACAGAAAGAGAGGGGCTCACGGGCAGCACCAAACAAGCAACAACAATTACAACAAAGTAAAAGTGTCCAAACATAAATAAATTTCAAACAACATTTTTATAGGCAAAAAGTGCAACATGTCCTGTGGTTTAGATTGCTCATCTCTCTCTCACTCTCTCTATCTCTCTATCCATGTCAGTAGAAGCACCCGTGACCTCTCTCTCTGTCAATGATTCTCTGATTCAGCTTCACTTTCCAGTCCCACATGTAAACAAGTACCAACTTTACCTGTATATAAACCATGACACAAGCCAATTCACACAGCACTTGTAGTTCCAAACTTCATTCCCCCACCTTGTCATTCTTTTCCGCACAACATTCTCTCTGAGAATGTCAAATTTTCATATCATTTTCTATGGTTTAGTTGTGGTAATTCTTCTTCTGCATAATCCAAGTGCAACACAATGCCACACCAAGGGAATTCGACCTAAGCCAGGGAATGGTTTATCTATCAACATGACCAGAGCTCAATTTTCAGAACAACAGTTCATGAAATGGGTGAGATTTGTGGGTGGCCTCAAACATTCTATCTTTAGGACAGCAAATAATAAGCTTTTTCCTTCTCACACTTTGCACGTTTCTAAGAAGCCCGGTAAAGGATACTTTACCTCAATTCAAGCTGCCATTGATTCCATTCCATTCATCAATATATTTAGAGTGGTAATTAAGGTCCATGCAGGGGTTTACACGTAAGTACTAGTATTATATTTCTTGTCATGCCACTTGAATTCTGCCACATTCTAGTCTTTTTGCTATGTGTTGTTTGTATATGGATTTTTGTTCATGTGAGACATGGGTTTTGGTGTTTGTCCTGTCCACGTTCATTATTATATTTTTGTTTGTGTGAGCTGTGGTACATAGGGAGTGATAATAACTTGGGTGTCTTTTTCCCTTGTGATTCAAATGCCTGAGAATTGGTCTTTGACTACAGAAGACCTTGCAGCTAATCAACTGTCCTTTCTTTCAGCCTTGTCCTCTTTTTTTATTTTATTTTACCCTCTTCCTTTCGCAACTTGCAAATTTTCTTCTATGTTGTAACAAATTGTGAATTACATTTGACTTAAAATTCTTATTCACTAGCTCTTTTTTCATAATTATACAGGGAGAAAGTTAGCATTCCTCCTTTCAAATCCTACATAACGATACAAGGAGCAGGAGCAGATAAGACTATCGTTCAATGGGGTGACACAGCTCAAAGCCAGCCACTAAGAACCTATGGTTCTGCAACTTTTGCTGTGAATGCTCCTTATTTCATAGCCAAGAACATCACATTCAAAGTAACTAACAAGCTTTATTACTCTACTTTGGTTTAAATGTTGCTCTATTTGTGATTTCATAAGCAAATATTGTGCATGCAGAACACTGCCCCGGTTCCAGCACCAGGAGCAGTTGGAAAGCAAGCAGTGGCATTGAGAATTTCAGGAGACACAGCAATATTCCTAGGCTGCAAATTCTTAGGGGCACAGGACACACTCTATGATCAACTGGGTAGGCATTACTATAAGGATTGTTACATTGAAGGCTCTGTTGATTTCATATTTGGCAACGCTCTCTCTCTCTTTGAGGTTAGATTTTGTCTCCCTAATTTTACAGCTGTGATGTTGAACTATTGCTGTTAAATAATCTGAGTTGTACTATAGTCTAATATTAATTTAAGCCGTATCAGTATCACCTAACCAATAAATTAACCTGAAATGGAATCTAATTTGTTCCTTCCCTCTATCCTTTCCATTTAATTGAAAGAAAAGGGAAATAATGTTTTGATTAAGAATCATAGACACGGTATGGTAACATGTTCTGATTAGATTGGTAACACAACACTTACTAGGGATGTCACGTGCATGCCATAGCACAGCTTACAGGGGCCCTAACAGCACAAGGAAGGAGCAGTTTATTAGAAGACACGGGATTCTCGTTTGTTCACTGTAAGGTCACGGGTTCGGGGGCACTTTACCTTGGAAGGGCTTGGGGTCCCTTTTCTCGCGTTGTCTTTGCTTACACTTACATGGACAACATCATCATTCCCAAAGGATGGTATAACTGGGGCGACCCTAACCGTGAAATGTAAGTTTCTCTCTCTCTCTCTCTCTCACACACACACACACATTGTGACACAAACAATGGCACTTAATTAGTTGGTAACTTTTTTAATTGAATATAAAATATAACTCATTGAAGCTAAGATTTGCATTTGTGCATGCAAAATGAATGTGCTTATCCTTTAAAATGTTAAATGTGCTTATCCTAGTTAAAATTTATGCAGACCCAAAATGAATTTAATTACTCCGTTTAGCTAAAAAGCACCACTAATGCCATTGAAGATGTTTGGTGTTGGTCAGTATTAAATTCCCCTATTTGTAATCTTCTAGACTACATGGAAACACAAAATCCCTTCTTTTTGTCCAATTTTTTAATCTTATAGGTGACCCAACTAATGTGATTGCATCGCCAAAATTGTTTTTATCTGTCTTCAATGTAAATGATCACCATCACTATGTAAAATTGTTGACTATAATGTTGTAACGGCCGTAACAAATAACAATTATGTTCCATAACTTAATTAGTATAATATTTCTTTCAAATCACTTTTGTTTCACCAGTGTCATCTCTCTTACAATGGGAAGTACATGGTGTTATTCTATTCAGAATTACCTTCTCTTGTGACAACCCCTTTTGCACTAGTAGGGGCACACAATGTTTCTGAATGCTTTTATGCAAAGTGACAAACAAACGCACTTAGAGTCAGTCTCCAACTCTCCATCGTACCATATAAGAATAATGAATGAGTCTATTCTCTGATGACAGAATAAGGGCATTGTTGGGTATATCCAGATAGAGTATTGTGCCACCAGGAAGAGAAGTGACCTAACAATAACGTGTTGTGGAAATCTACGTGTCACGCTCAATACACAAAATGCTATAAAAAAAATGAAGTTTCTGAAGAAAAAGAAATTAGTAGATAAAAAAGGGTAGGTAACTATAGGGAGATACGAGTCTGTATAACTTGGTGCCTGAGCTACCTAATCTATTCTATATTGTTATTTGCTGTATACATATTGAGACATGTGAGTAATGTTATTGTATTATTTTGGGTCCACTAGGACTGTGTTCTATGGACAGTACAAATGCACAGGACCAGGAGCAAGCTACGCGGGGAGAGTATCATGGTCAAGGGAGCTAACCGATGAGGAAGCTAAGCCATTTATTTCACTTAGCTATATTGATGGCTCTGAATGGATCAATCTTTCTATTTGAATTTATCTGCTTACAAAATCCATTCTGATGTATAAATATAATTTACAATTTCATAGTGCTTGCTTCACTTATCACAATTCGTTCTTTTACTTTACCCTTGTTAGTGAAAGTGGAACTGAGGGGACGCAACAAACCACAATTATGGCCGCAACATTAACATTTCTTTCACAATTCCTTGCTTGCAACTGTAAGCTCATCTCTAATATGAGGTTTATACGAGCTTTTAGAATAAAATTTGGTTCTTAGTTTTTTTACTATTGGAGTGAAGTGACCTGATAACCATGTACGTAAGAACATGTAAAAACTGGTTTCTTATAGAAAAAAAATATAGATCTATTATAGAATATACAAAATAAATTAAGAATTCAAATTAGATTTTTTTATTATAGAAAAATATGGAAATTTTTTAAATCTTAAATAGTAATAAAAGGACACATAAAATGTATATTAAAAACTTAAAATGAGTTATACTATTAAAGATATTCCAATAACTAATACATTGGTGTAAAAATAAAATAAAATAAAAAAACCTAATACATCTGTTGCATGTAAATATAAGAATCGAAACTAAACTGCAAGAACAACTTAAAACCTTTCTGGATGATCCAATTGGACATACTTTCATTTTTTTTAGCCAAAATAAAATTGACTGATGTCGCATAGTATATACTTATTTATATTGTTTACTGATATCTTTTTGTATAGTATATTATTTATATATACACATATTTATATATATACAAGTCTAAAAAATATGTCATAAAATTAAAGGAATAATTTTTTATTGCCTTATTTCTGTGTTCAAGAAACATTTTCAGGCAGGACATCAGTGAGACATCGATCATTAGCATCTCATTGTTTTTTCCTTTTAAAAAACTATAATTGTTTTCCAAAGCACCTAAATATAAAAAGAAATTATTTCTATCTTTTCTGTTTAATGTACGTTTATAAAATTTTAAAATAAAACAAATACATATTTAATTTATGTGTACTAACAATTCCAAAAGGAATCACTATTTTTTTTGTTGATACAGAAGGTGTCATTTTTTTTTTTTGCGTATTACCATTGGTTTTTTATATACCTCTACTAAATCAATATATTTACCTCTCGTTTAAAAAAGGAAACAAATATAATGTGTGGCTTATTATATGTAGCAGTAGGAAAAGAGACATTTTGTGTCTCTTAATTTTTAAAAAATATAAATAAAAATAGAGAATAAATAAATAAATACATAATTATAGATGGTTATTTAGAAAATATAAACATTTCTTTCATTTATTTTTGTCTTAACAAATGATGAATATATTGATCCACTAAAAGTGGAGGCTAAAAATAATTATTAAATAAGAGAATAATGGTTAATTAAAAGTATAAATCAAAAACATTTATTTATTATATATCTTCTTTATAATGAGTATAGATCCATCTCTATATTCCGTGACATTTCACATTTTCTTCTCTTTTTTACCCTAACTTTCATTATTTGTTACCATACGAGTAAAGATATTTTAGTTTATGCTCTTGAAAGTATTTTAATTATTTTTTCTCTCTAAATTTCTTCCACACTAAAGGGAAGTGAAAATTGGATGAGGACAAATTTTACTGTTCTACATTCTCATCTCCTTTGAATTAAACAACAAAAATTTATAAAATTATCTTCTTTCTTTCTTTCATTTTTCTTTGACCAACACTATGTAAGAGAGTCTGTATAATCTTAAAAAATATTTTAACAACGAAGAAACAGTAAAGTTATGTAAATTACATGTATTAACATTTTGTGACATGTTGGGTCTGCTTTGGGTTGGGATAATGCTCTAGCAATGTAGGGTTAAATGAACAAACGCACTCGACCCAAAAGAACATAACCAAGAAACACAGTCTACCCACAACAGACGCAAACGTTAGGTTACAAAATTCTTCACAAAGTTAAACAATCAGTCACATCCACGGTTCTATTTTCTTAAATATTATATATAGTTTTTTATTTAATTTCTGCCATACCATATATACCTATTTTAAATATAGAGAGACAACTTTTTGTTGACTCAGTTTTGTTGTTTATTAATTTTAAAGCATCACAATGTAAATTGTTTAATAATATATTTTATTTTATTAAATTTCATATTGTCATATCACATTTAAATAATTTATAAGTATTTTACTATATTTTTATCAAAATAGTAAATTTTAAATGATCTTTACTATATAAAAAAAAATTAATATGATTTACTGATTTTCTTTCTTCTTTTTCTGAACTTGATGATGTAAAAACAAATTTTTTATTCCTAAATTATCGTATTTTAAAAAAAGACATGGAGTTTAAATTTGTGATATTCTTTGTATCACGTAAACTGACTCTAATATAAGACACGATAAAAATATACAAATTTTTATCATAAGATATTTGTAAGATATTAACATTATTGATATTCTAAATGTATTATATTAATTATAATTATAACATAAATTATTGTGTATCTATCTCATCTTTTATCTCTTTTTTATTATTAGATTGATCTTATATATAATACTCTAATTAAATACTATTTATTTATAATAAATAAAATTAAGATGTTTAATATAACTTTATATCCTAGCTACTAAAAATTTAATTTTTTTATTATCAATATATCACAATTTGATTGAATTATTTCTATAAAGTTACCACATTGTCTTGAGAATAAAAGAATATAGTTGAAATGAAAATGAAGAAATTATTAAATATGATTTGTCAATTATTTCAACAAATTAATAAACAATAAAGATGATAGATATTTCACATCTATAATATTATAATATTATATATATATATATATATAATAATGCATTATCTTTTTTCTCCTTCTTATACAGTTATTCAAAATTATTCTTAAACTTTTTTTGTTTTTTCGTAAAGTTAACTCAATCCGGAAGAGATACTATCTGGTGTTTATCAAGTTCTTTTTTAGATTAATTTTTGTGTTTGACAGGATACTCCTTAGTAATAACAAAAAATAAATAACTAAAGGATGTATTAGATTGTGATTTTGAAATATTATTTTAACATGAAATTTTTTTAAGTATTTTATAAATTTTAAAAGACTTTAAAGAAATGTCATGACTTTTATTTTTAAAAAAACATGGATATTAATCAAAGACTTTATAATTCAAATTTTGATGAATTTATATCATAAAACTTTTAAAATATTTTACGAATTTCATAGAAAAATATGATTTATAAAACACATTTAATATTATAAAAATTAATATAAAAAATATAACAAATAATAAAGAAAAGTGTAATCAACACAAATTTTTTTATCTTTTAATAAATAATTAATTTTAATGTCTTTTGAATTAATATTTTTTTACATATTTAAAGTTATATATGAGGTAGAAAAAAGAAAAGGCGAGAGAGAAGAGAAACTAAGATAGGAAAGGAAAGAGGTGAGACAAGCAAGAAATACTAGAGAGAAAAAAAGAATATGAGATAAAGAAAAGAGAGTTAAGAAATAATGAGAAACAAAAGAGAAAAGAAAGAAAGAAAGAGGAGAGATATAAGGAGAAAAAGTGTAAAATTTCAAATGTTGTGAAATTATTAGATGTATGAATTACATGTAAACTATAATAAAAAGTCTTACAAAATTTCTTATTTAAAATCATCTATTGAAATTTCTATTTTTTAAATACCAACAAATTTTTTTAAGTGAAAAAACTCTTAATTGAATATCAAATTTTGATATACTCATAAAAAATATGATTATCTTAATTAAATATTATAAAAAAAAATTATATTAAAAAATCTTAATTAAATATCATTAAAAAATTATAATAATTATTTTTTTAAAAATCCATTGAGATCCTTTAATTTAGTATATTTTGAAGTCTTTAAAAAATAAATGGCGGATATAACTACAAATATTATTCTTCACTTTAATTTTCCTTTCACTGTCTATCATTAAAATAAGACTTTAATTTTTTATATTTAACTGATGGTAAATTTCTGTTAATCATATTTAATAGTTAATTTCAATACAATTAAATGCGTTGTGGATAAGAAGGTGAACAATCGTTGGATAACTTGTAAAAAAAAGACACAGCATTGGGGCAACTAATATTGTATTTATTCCAATTATTTGTAAATTTTATCTATTAAATTTACAGATGACTAAACATGGTCTTAGTTTTTCATAAATCATAAAGTTCTATATTTGAATTTTATTATTATTATCTATTTTATCAATAAAAAAATAAACATAAAATTATTTAAAAGATTTAATTCTTTTATAGTATATTTATTTAGGAAAGAAGATGAAAAAGAAAAAAAATGAAAAGACAGGTAATTTTGTAAATCATTAAATGAGAAATGATATATTTTTTTAAAGAATGATTATACTAAAATTCAAATTAAAATTTTTTTGTGTATTTTTTTAACTTCTTCATCACTAGCCACTCTTAAATATATTTGATAAGAAATAGTACGAAAGAAAGTAAAATATGTATATAAAAATATATAAATATTCTTAACAAGAAAAAAAAATCTAAAAATAAGATTATTTTAATCATTTAAAATAAAAAAGAGTAATTTTTCCAATTTCTTTCTTGTCAACATAACAAAGCGATAAAATTAGGTATTTCTATTTGTTTAATCCTTTATCCCTTCTTAATAAGTAACCATACAGAGGATCAAAAGTGATTTTAAGACTTTTTCATCCTTCCTAAATTCATGGTTTCAAACTCATCCTTAAAATAAGGACAAAATAAATAATTTTAATTGGGAAATTTCTTATCAATGTTAATATTCTAACACATCATAATATCATCTATTCTAAAATGGTTATACATTTTTAAAAAGTCTATTCCTATTTCAAATGGTGGTAAAGTTTCTTTTCTTATTTATTACTCTTGTCCTACGTATGTTTTAACGGTAAAAAGATTGTTTTATTTGTCCTCTTATGTATCTTAGTATCTTTTTTCCTGATTTTTATTTCTCAAATTAGTCGGCAGAATATTCTTTCGTTTGGAGGTAAATTTTGATAATAGTACCTTTTGCCTTTTAGACAATTTTTAACTAAAAACCATGTGCACACCATGTGCATATGATTTCGTTAAAGTTAACTATTAAATTTAATGAAAGAAAAAAAATATAATAAATTTCACAAAACCAATGTGTATTAGTACATATTTGATTTACTAAATTTAAAAACAAGAGATTATTTAGCAAAACAAAAGTACATGTTTGATTTACTAAATTTAAAAAAATATATATATATTTTTTTTTAATTTTTTGAGAAAGGTTTTTATTTTTTTTAAATATTTATATAAAAAAATCTAATTTTCAAAAATGTACTTATGTTAGATTTAACATGTGTGGCTGGAAAATCTAATTAGAGTAAATAATTTAAGAACATAAAATGATTTTGAAACATTATTTTTCCTACCATTCAGAATAATTATAGAAGGAACTTTACCGGGTTAATATAGATATTCACTTGAGTGAGAATATTCAGATCAATATGCATCAGAAAAGAAAGAAAATGAATGAAAATAAATATGCATAACGTTGTGTAAAAAACAAGTGACAAGTGTCTATTTTATGCTTGCAAATTGTGTATGTTAGACAAGTTAAAATTGTGTAAGAGATTACACAGTGAGTTGAGGGAAATATTTCTTCTCAATTATTAAGTAATATAAAACTTTTTAATGTTATGTAAAAATAAGATGTTTTACAATATTTTACATGGGTAATTTGTGGTCTTTAATGTTGCTACTGATTTCATGTGCATTTACTTAATGTAGCAATGACAGTATGTAAGTTTTCTGTTACGACAAGCAGTTAATTAATAGGTTAGCATTGGTGGTTCCTGGCTGCAGTGTAAACGAAGGTTCCAACAAAGAGGGTTAAAAAGATTGAAGAAAATAATACCTGAAAATAACAGTACAATTTTTGGGATCTTTCAAGCAACATGCCATCAAAAACTGTACCCTTACCCCTCGTTCAAAATTCAAAAGCAGTTAAAAAATATAGCAACAAACATCCAATTATAGTACGTGTGATGCATCATAACTGCATTCCCTGACATTCAAGATTCCTTGTAAATCATCTTAATTAAATTCTCAATCATTAATTGTTAATTATATATGCGATTTTAATAGGTTGAACTCACCAAAAGGATCCTCTGTCATTATAATAACAGCACATTATGCACTTGAAATCTTACAGTTAGAATAAATAGTTATAACAATCATTTTTTTTTCTTCATAAAACTTGAATACTAGTAAATAAAATATGCAAATGAGAACTTAAAATTTAACCCATCAAAAATTATTAAATTAACCATTAGGTGGTTAGAAATAAGGAATTTAAATAAATTGGATTTAATTTTTTTTATCTTCATTTTTGTAGATTTTTTTGTTATGAATAAAAAAATTATTACATTGAGTGACTTTTATTAAAATCATAAAATGAATTTTATTGATTAACAATCTAAAAACTTTTAGACTAAATCTTATTAAACTCTCAACTTTAGAAATGGAATATCTTGAACTGATAAATGGTAGGGGGAAAAAAAATCAATGTAACTTCGCTGTAAGGCATTCTTGCTCTCAATGCTGTGTCAACCAGATTTTCTTGATAATATATCTATCATCCTTGTATGGTACAAAATAGCAAAATGCAATTGCTTCACCTTTTTGAGGTACAGAATGCACTTTAGTTTACAGCTCTCAAGAAAAAAAAGAAGTTATATTTTCAAATAATAGAACAGATAGAAACTTGTTGTTATAACATCAATCTTTTCAGACTTTTTTATTTCCTCTTTTTAGTGCAAATATGTGTTGTTTCAAGTTCCTACATCCACATTTTCTATTCATAAATCTTGTTTAATTCAATGTACTTATTTTATGTAACAAAACAAGCTCAAGTAGAGTGAATAGCAAAGATCCAGAATTGTTTAGAAAGGAAAGATGAAAACTAATTGCTATTGCATTTGATTATAATGACAATATATGAAGCTAATCCCGAGACCAAATTTTTTCCAAGTTACAATGGGGACCTTCTCATTGTTCTTCTATTTTGTCTTGACCCCCTGTTTCCTACCCGCTACATGTTTTCAAATTTCCAATCATGGGACAGAACAGGACTATTGCTAACATTGTGAAAAAAGCAGAAGAAAGCAAAATCTCTCATAAGTTTCACCAATCACTACTTCTTCTTGTTGCAACACCAAATTCCGTGGACTTCTGAAGCTTACTCATCACAGCATTCTTGAAATTAATAGCTTCCTGAATCTGTGAGCAAGACCTCTGCATTCTAGCACCACTCAAACTACTCCTAGACTCCATCATCTCATTGAGGGAAAGCCTCTTCCTGGGACCCGGATCAGGGCGTTGCTTTGGAGCACTATGAGACCTCAACTTGGCCTTGAAAGACTGAGTGCTGGCCATGTAGTTTGGAAAATTGTGGTACTGTCCATAGAAGAAGTTTTCTGTGCAAACACTTTTTGGTGTCATAGGTGCAACAACAAGGGATCCACAACTGCAAGAGTTTGTGAAGCGTGGAGTGCTTTGTGCCGTGGAGAACCTGCATTCTTCTCCCGTTAGGCCCCACTCCGAGTCATGCAAATTCCTTCTGTCTGGTATGGACAAATGAGTGAATGTGAGAGGAGAAGGAAGTGCATGAAATGAAGGGTCATCGCCAAAATCTGACATTGAGGTGTTGCTCCTGCGAGACCTTGACTTTGGCCTCCCTGTGTCCACTTCTACTATTTTGGGGCTTCCATCAACACTATTGTTCATTGTGGCATCAAAGGAAGATGATATCCTTCTGCTGTGGATGGGACCTATGTACTCACTCTTTATGTCATCAAATCTCTCCTGCAAAACATTAATCACCATAACTATGCAAGGTTACACGACAGTGGACAAAAGGAATCTAAGATCTATGTTATGTAGTACCATGGATCTTCGTGCTTGTGTTTGAAACCTATGTGCTTCATTCTTTGTAGTGAGTCCTCGAGATTTCTTAGACCTCACTGTTGCTTGAGCTCTAATTAGAGCCTGCATACTATGCAGGGTTGCTGCTGCTTGCTTCCTCACTAAGTACCCTCTCACAAGTGCTTGTAACTTCACCAATCCTTTCAAGGCTCTCAATGCCTTCCTTGCCTATTTAGAAAAATCAAAGAACACCAAAATCAAAATATCTCCGATCTGTTTTTATATAATTAAAATTCATGATAAGTTGAACAAGTTATAGAATTATACTTGATCTAACTAAAAGATAATTAAAAGGCTTGAATTTTCATCTAACTAGTTCAAATTTAGTCAAAACTAATGATGTTCTGTTTTTTGTGTATGAAATTGAAGAAAGGCTAACTTACCAAGTATCCTCTAAACACAGTTTGAATCTTAACAACAGCCAACCTTTCTTGTCCACCACCAAACACGGTTTCCCTGTTGTTGCCGTGGCTAGTAAGTCTAACCACTGCAACGGCTGCTTGAGCTGCAGCGACAGCAGCATCTGCAGCTGCTGCTGTCGCTGCAGCAACTGCGATGGCATGCTTGTTCTGCTCCTTCTCAGTTTGTGAGTAAAAGGATTGTAGCCAAGCAGCCTCCGCCGGTGAAATATTGGGTGGAATGGTGGTTGGATTATGACATAAACCTCTGGATTCTCTGTCTGAGTGACACAATTTGGTGCCAGAATTTGAATTCTCTCTGCGCTCTCTCTCTGTCTTTATCCCAAACAACCCCTTCAACCACCTGATGGCTCTCCCCATTACTGATAAAGGGAAATGCTAATGAGGTTTTTGAGTAGTGCAAATGAGAACGGCTAGGTAAAACCTATAAAAACAAAAACAAAACAAAAAAAACTAGTCTCAGACACAGTATTTTAAGACATAAGAAAATGCCTCGTGAAAATCTGCATTACATGACAAAAACATGCCTCTGGAACATGCAAGAGGCATGGTAAGCAAAATCAAACAACATTAAAATAATGGGAGTGTTACATTGTGGTGTTGGCGTTCACATTGTGTACAATACAACAATTATACAGAGTAAGTATTAAACAAATGAAGTTGGGTTGTTTGTAGTAAAATAATCATATAAGAAGAGAGGAAGAACCCACCTTGGTAGAATCAAATTCTGGAAAGGAAGAAAAAGCAGATCAAAAGTAGTAAAAGGGGAAAAAAATTGTGCAGTAATCCAATAAGAAGAAAAAGATGGGAAAGTTCAAAGAAGAGAACAGCCCCATAGTGAAATCTCTATCTTCATCTGTCCCCTAATACTGTGTGGAGCGACGTATCCTGAAAAAGAAAGATACCTCATTGTCCCAAAATATCTGACACGTACACTCGCGTCTCGTGAAGGCATTCACCTAATTTATACCACAGATCAACTTCCTCTGCACTCTGCAACTGTTTTACCCTCCTTTGCTCTTTAGTTTAACTCCTAGCCAGCGAATGAAGCAGCATCATTCATTCTATTTTCTCAGCTCCCTCTTTAGCTTTCAGTGAAGAAACAGAATAATAATAATAATGCATCCTCCTCCTGCATGTAGCTCAGCCAGTAAAAGGTAGCTTTTTAGTTCAATTAATGTTGTTCTTTTCCGCACCCAACACCTATCTACGCTGTTCTCTGCAACTCTTTCTCTCTTTTTTATTTTTTACTTTTCTCTTTCATTGTTTCGTTTTACTGTGTTCTCAATTATTTGTGTACTAATTCCAGCTCTCCTTTGTTTTTACTGTCGTTTTTCTGTAACATAGAAATCACAGGGCTCTCTCCTCTCTCAAGTATTTTTTTTTTTCTGTTACGGAGAATTTTGGATGAATTGATCCATAGTTAAATGTGAATGTGATTAATTTGTTCGACACTTGAAACTATATTTACCAAATAGCTGTGAAAACTTTTTGGGCATTCGAAAATTGCAAAGACAAACTTAGCTGTACTAGGCTACCAGTACTATGCTGACTGGAACGATCCAGATGAAAACAAAATTTCGCTGAACACGTCGCTGTTTACGATTATTGCGCCATTTTGTAATCTAGTAAACATATTGAAGACCGTGTTGGGTACAATTTCAAGTCTAGTAAGTGCAAATAAATTACCAACAAAATTTTTAATGAGTTCTCAAATCAAAGTAGTTGATGACATTATGTTCTCGGTAGAACTAACCTCAAATCTTTTAAGTAAACTTTTTGAGTTCCAATTTTGTAATAAAATGTGATTGAAAAAAAAAACTTATCAAATATGGTAGAAATTCTTTGAAATTAATCATCGTCTCATCATTACAAAATTTTACAAACTAAAATTATTAGTGAAAAGAAAAATGTGGTATCCTCGGAAATTTATAAGCTGAAAAACCCTCCGACCATTTGGAAGTACAAGTGTACAACATCTATCTATTAATTTAATATAAAAGCAATAATTTAATTTAATATAATCAATTTTTAAGACTTTGGAGGATGATTCGGCTTCTGCAATTCAGAATCTGTAGCATATCTATAGTGAAAAACCTTTTTCACTCAAAAGCAGATAACTGTTAGGTAAACTCTAATAATAACATTCTAAGAATAAAATATTTTGAATACTTTGAATCTGAGGTGGGGTGATTTGATAAAGCAGAGAGAGTCCCGTTGGAAACCATTGAAAGAGAGAATCAACGTTGAGGTCATAAAATTCAGAAATTGAAGCATTTAGCCTTTTTTTTTTTTACGAGAAAAGAAGCAAAACGAAAAAATAGAGATGAGAAGAGAAGACAAGAAAAGTGTGAAAGTTAGAGAAATAAATAAGAAATACACAAAAAATAAAATTTGTTTGATAAATGAAAAAAAAAAAGAGAAATGGAATAGAAATTTATTTATAATGAATTATTATTTTATTATTATAAAATTATTTTTTCATTATAAATTTATAAACTTACAACTTGTGCACGAATGTAAATCAACATATATGATTACGTATGAATTGTTCCCTCAACAAAAATATAATTCATTTTTTCTGTTATGTTTCTTTTAAAATTTAAGTTTTAATAATATTGAGTAAATTATATTTTAAAAATAATTTTGTTAATTTTTAAAAATTAAGTTTATTGACCTAATTAACATTAATAATTTAAATAACTTTTAAATAGGTTAATATGTTATACTAGGCTTTAAAAAAATCAAGCTAGACCTATAAAAAAAGTCTATAATAAATAATAGATCAGACTTAGACTTTAATTTCGTAGAACAAAACCCTGTCTATATATTTAAAATTTAGTCTAACTTGACCTATTTTAATCTCTACTAATAACTCATATTAAATTTTTAAAAGGTCAAAATAGGTTTATAAACTTTAATACATAATTAAATAACTCAACACCTTATACTAGAGTAAATGACAATAAAATGAATTGTGATCATGACAACAACAACATAATAAGTATCACCTGCACCAACATACATAGATGAAAATGTGAAAATAAGGAGAGTGAGAAACATCTCACTCTAGATCATGACACGAAATAAGACCAGATAGCCAGACACACTGAAGATAACAGATATACCCTTATAATACATACATATACAATTAAATATTCACAATAAGGTGTCAATAAAATCATTCTCAACTATATTTCATTTATCCCAATCACTCATAAACGATGCATTCACACACGAGATGCAATGGACACGAACTAGGATTTGCATACATGTGATGCCAGTCACAAAATATATACAATGTATATTATATCAATTTATTGATTTGTATGCATATGATGCATATAACACAAGACTCAATAGTATACCATGTTTTCAATGTACATACTCAAACGATTTACCATTACAACAATTTGTCAATTACATTTCATTCACAATATTCATTCATCAAAGCATCACAATTCATACTCAATTTATCATACTTAATCATATTTGTCCATTAGCATAATACATTGTATGTCAAATCCATGAATATAATTCATCTTAAGAAATAAAGGTGATACAAGGAAGAAAAGGCAAGAAAAGAATGAGAAAAAAAAAACATGAGTCATAGTCATAACTCACGAGTCATTGTTGTGACACTGGTCACGCTCGTGACTGGCTTGGTGAAAACCAAAAGAAGGCCAAAATTTGAATGCTTCATAGTTGTGAATCACTGATCACACCCATTACTTATCGATTATGCCCATGATTCATGAGTCACGTCCATAATTGACTAGTTATAGTCATGAGTCACGTCCATAATTGACTAGTTATAGTCATGATTCACTGGTCATACCTGTGACATAATCTAACATATACAAACTTTGATTATTTGAATCCTATAACTCATCTCATCATCAAAGTTGATCATCAATCGATAAAATCCTAGATTAAAAGCCTAAAATCACTCTATTAAGCCATTAATTACATACATTTGCATACTCATACCAATTCTTCATACAAACACCAAAATGATTCTGATTTCCACAGTAAGTCAGGAAGAATCCAAGATTCACAAGATTAGTCCAAAACATATGAAATTAAATATATACACATGTTAATCAATTAGAGCATCGAAGAATCACATAAAAGATAGAAACACAAGATAACACATAATTTGGGATTTCTCTTCATATAATACATGCAACAAAGAAGAAATCGAAGGTTAATCTTACTACCTAATAATTATCTCACTTCTAGAGTAAGACTACTTTCTCCCCTTACTTTGATAATTGTCGGATGATGGGCACAAAATTTTGAGATGTTCTCCTACAAACTTTGGTTTTTCTTATTTTTCAAAATGTTAGTGTAAAAGCAAAAAAGGCTACCCACTCCCCCTTCTTACCTTGATAATTGCTAGATAAAAGACCAAAAATTTTGAAATATTCTTCTACAAACTTTGATTCTTTTTGTTATTCTTCAAAGCATAAGTATAAGAGAAAAAGAGAAGGGTGAGAAAACTAATGTAATATCTTTATTTTTAAAAAATTAATTTAGATTGTACATCTCTTACCTAATTTTTTTTTATAATAATAACAACGTAAACATTTATTTATAAACCTTATAATATATAATATATATTCATATAAAAAATAAAATAATTATTTATATAAATAAAATACATTATAAAATCAACTCACTCATAATTTAAAATTATATATATATATATATATATATATATA